TACAAAAGAAATAAAAACAAAATGGGGAATAGAAAAATTAATAAAGAAAAATGAGGGAATAAAAACATAAAGATGAGGAAAAAAAAGAAAATTAAGAAAAAGGAAATAGAGAAAAATGAGCTAAAGGAGAAAATGAAAATGATGAATAAAAAAATGAGAAAAAAGAACAAAATTGTAGAGAAGAAAGAAGAAAACAAAATAGAAAAAAAAAAAAAGCCAGAATAAAACAATTTCACTAGGGTCAAACTCCACAGGTCACCAAAAAGTAGCTTCCTGGGTTATAAGGGACCAAAAATGTAGGTCAAGCCGGGAGCGCTTATGTAGGTTTTTGAAATTCTATAACAATAGCTGTTTATTCCCTTTCCCTTTCCCTTTCCCTTTCCCTTTCCCTTTCCCTTTCCCTTTCCCTTTCCCTTCCCTTTCCCTTTTCTTTTCTTTTCTTTTCTTTTCTTTTCTTTTCTTTTCTTTTCTTTTCTTTTCTTTTCTTTTCTTTTCTTTCTTTTCTTGACCGGGGTCTCACTCTGTTGCCCAGGCTGAAGTACAGTGGCATCGTCATAGCTTACTGCAACCTCCGACTTCTGGCTAAAGCGATCCTCCTGCTTCAGCCTCCCAAGTAGCTAGGACTATGGGTGCATGCCACCACACTGGACTAATTTCTCTATTTTTGGTAGAGATGGGGTCTCCATTTCTCTCAGGATGGTCTTGAATTCCTGGCCTCAAGCAATTTTTCCTGCCTTGCTCTCCAAAAGTGCTAGAATTACAGGCGTCAGCCACCACACCCAGACAACAATGGCTAGAAATGGGCCAATCATGGGTAGAGATAACTTGCAGTGGTTTTCTCAATTTTGGGTGTCAAGAACATTTTCCCCTTTAAAGAAAAACAAGGATAGTGTTTTTTGTTTATGTGGTTATATAGATTAATTATTTAGTCTCTTAGAATTTTGAACCTGTTGATGCTTTTCATTGTACAGGTCTTTTCATTTATAGTTTGAAAGTTGTAATAACTTTAGGCTTTTAAAGACCTCATAATATCTACACTGAAAATATTCAGTTCCTTTTTCTTTAAACTTTGAGTGATTGGTGTCAGAGTGATGCTACAACACAGCTGACATCATGACACCATAAAAATGGGTCCTGTGGTGTGTGATACACAATAAGGTCCATTATTAATGTCTGTACAGCTGCCAGACATTATAACTGTCGTCATGATTTCCCCACACGATCATCATCAGATTTGCCATCAAAAAACCTTGGAGACCAGAAATCAGTGGTTAGAAATATTCAAAGTCATGGGGACAGAAAAAAGCCTGTCAACAAAGATCCCTATGTGCGACAAACTGCTCCAAAATGAGGGGGAAATTAAGACATTATCAGATATTCAAAAGCCGAGACCACCAGCCCTGCCTGCAATGAAGGGAGTCCTTCCACTTGAAAAGAAAGGACACTAGACAGGAACTCCAAGCATTATGAAGAAGTAAGACCTCTGGTGAAGATAAATACCTGGACAGTTACAAAAGCCAGCACTATTTTTGTTTTGTGCAAGATTAAAGAGACTAAGATTAGGTCATTAAATATGAAATGTCTGATTTCTAATCAAAAGTGTAGTTGCTTGTATCTCAAACAAGCAGTACAGTTAATCAAAGTTGCGCCTAAACTATCAACACAGTTTTCCATCTTAACGGAAGCTCGTTTGTGCCAGCAGCGAAGCCTGGAGAGCGAGTGGCGATGAAAACGTGACAGGTGTTTTCCACAGCTTGTTGAGAATTGACAATTTTTCCTTGTAAGAAATGGTCCAAAGCCTGCAAGAAGTGGTAGTCAGTTGGTGCAAGGTCTGGTGAATACAGGAATAACAAGAGTTTCCAAGTCCAGCGTCTGTAGTTTGAGCAGCCTTTGTTCGACATGTGGTTGAGTATTGTGTTGCAAGATGATGGGCCTGTTTCTACTGACCAGTCTCGACTGCTTCATCACAAGCATAGTTACCATTTTGTCCAGCTGGTTGTCCAGCAGTAGGCATCTGCTGTAATTGATTGACCAGGTTTAATGAAGCTGTAGTGGATAATACCAGCACTGAACCACCGAACAGATGCCATCAGCTTTTTTGACGAATATTTGGTTTTGGACTGCTGTCTTTATCCAGCCATTGCTGCTGATTCACATGTAGGTTGAGATGGATTCCCTTCCACTACAGCTTTCAGCTCATTATTATGCACTTTGGTCTTGGGCCACCAAAGTGGCTCATTTTCAGGATTGAAATCACCAGAATGAAACTTCTCAAACCATCGACACACTGTGTGTTCATTAGCCACATCCTTCCGAAACACTTCATTGATATTTCGAGCTGTCTGTGCTGCACTGCTTTCACCGTGGAACTCACGTTTGAAAATAACATGAATTTTTGACTTATCCATGGTTTCACAAAAATTTGAAAGATAATCACAAGACAAACATGCGTTTGGAAGAATGAGGATATACCTTCACAATAAAAACAAAACAAGAAGTGTCAAAGTGAAATGTCAGAGATATTATTAGTCGATGTTTTTGGACACACAGTGCAGACACATGTAATCTGGTGACACCAGCAACTGTAAGAGCAATTAGGCAAGAGAAAGAAATAAAAGGCTCTCACATTGAAAAGGAAGATGTAAAGTTACCAGTTTGCAGACAACATGATCCTGTGGGTACAAAACAGTTAAGATTTCACAAAAAAACTGTCATAACTATAGCAAATATAGCAAAGTATCAGGCATGTGGAACCTCAGAGGACCCCAGATAAACCAAAGAACCCTGAAAAAGAACAAACTTGGAAGTCTTATACTTCCTGTTTTCAAAACTCTACAAGCTCCGGTAATTCAAACAGGGTGGCCCTGGCATGGACAGACTTCCAGAGCAATGGAGTGGAACACTGAGCCTAGAAATGGCCATCATGGGTGGCTAAATGCTTTCTGACAAGGGTACCATGACCATCCATTGGGGACAGGACAGTCTGTGCAGCAAACGGTCCTGGGAAACTGAACATCCACATATAAGAGAATAAAGTTGGATGCTGACATAACACCATACACAAAAATGAACTCACCACAAATTGAAGATCTAATGGTTAAGGACTAAAATTATAAAACTCCTAGAAGAAAGCACAGGAGGAAAGCTTCAGATAAGGGGTTTGGCACTGAGGTTTTGGATATAACCCCAAAAGCACAGGCTATAAATTAAAAGTAGGTAAACTGGATGACATCAAAATCTAAAAGTCCTGTGTATCAAAGGACACAGCAGAGCCAAAGGCAACCTATGGAATGGGAGAAAATACCTGCAAATCATACATCTGATAGGAGGTTCTCATCTGAAATATGTAAAGAACTCATACATGTTGCTAACAACAAAACACACAGCCCCAATAAACAATGGGCAAAGGACTTGCATGGATATTTCTGCAAAGGTGATATGCAAATGGCCACATGCTCATGAAAGATGCTCAGCCTCAATACTCATCGGAGTAACGCAATCAAACCACAATGGAAACTGCTTTCCACTCCTTAGGGTGCTACTATCCAAACAGCAGCAGAAAACAGTAAGTGTCAGTAAAGATGGGAGAAATTGGAACTCTCGTGTACTGGTAGAGGGAACGTACAACAGTGTCACTGCTACTCAAGATAGTATAGTGATTCCTGAGAAAATTAAACAGAATTACTCTGTGATCCAGCAGTCCCACTTGTGGGTATTTACCCAAAGGTAATGAAAGCACAATCTCAAAGACTTACTTGTCCACCCACGTTCATAGCAGTGTTCTTCACAATAGCTGAAAGGTGGAAGCAACCCAAGTGTTCACCAGTGATGAATGGTGAACCAAATGTGGTCGATACATACAGAGGACCATTATGCAGCCTTACAAAGAAAGAGATTCTGACTCATGCTACCACGTGGATCAACCTGGGGACATTGTGCTAAATCAATAAGCCAGTGACAAAAGGTAAATACTGTCTAATTCCACTGATATGAGGTACCCAGAGTAGTCAAATTCATGGAGATGGGAAGTAGAAGGCTGGGTGCCGGGGACCATGGGAATTAGGGAGTTACTGCTTCTTGGGTACAGAGTTGAGGTTATAAGGTGAGTTGTGTGGACACACGGTGGTGACGCTCACACAAGCATGTGCGTGTGCTTCACGCCACCGAACTCTACGTGTAAAAGTGCAAAGGTGGGAGGTTTTTTTTGCTATGTGTATTTTATGAGAATCAAAATAAATAAGGTTTTAAAAATTTAATTAAAACACATTGATAGATAATAAAGGCAGAGATGTAGGGCAATTGTTAGTAGCAGTTTCAATTGATGGAACCACTTTGAGAAAGATATTTGGCAGTAATGACATGTGCCACATGGCCTAGGAGTCTCACTATTAGGGACACACCCAAAAGAAGTGCCTAAGTGTGTCCCCAAAAAGGAAGGTGCACAGATGTTCTTAGCAGCCCTGTGGATCGGAGCCCCAAACTGGAAGGAGCCGAAGTGTGCACAGTAGCACCGGTAAATCCATTGCTCTGTATTCCCACAGCGGCATAATGTGTAGAAATGTGGGTAAAGGATGTACAATGTGCAACCAATGCGGAATCTCATGGACAGCACTGAGCGGAGGAAGCAGATACAGAAGAGTTCGTGCTCGGTGGTTCCCTTTATAGAAAGTGCAGCATCAACCAACATAGAGCTGTGCTGGTAGAAGTCAGGGTAGTGGTTTCCCTGGGGCAGAGGCTAGTCATCAGTTGGGGCTCCAGGAGATTGTGGGTGCCAGTAATCTGTTTCTTGATCTGTGTACTGGATAACAGGGTGTGTTCAGTATGTGAGAAAAAATTATTGTCAATTTTATATCCATGTGAATTATACTGAAGTTGAATTTTTTTAATTTAAAAACATCAGATTGTATATCAAATCCAGGATGAAAGAGAGGGATCCTCAGCCTGTCGTGCCTTCCCCAGCAAAAGCAAGTTCACGGTGACCGTGTGGCTCTCTTTTGCAGGGAGGCTGCCACCGGGCTCTGAGCACTGCAGCGGTGTCAGGGTGACAGCCGAGGCCCAAGGCTCCACCACGCTCCTGGTGAGCTACAAACACGGCCACGTCCACCTGAGTGCCAGGATCACCATCGCTGCCTACCTGCCCCTCAAGGTGAGCCAAGTCCCTGCCCTTCACCACCCACCCTGCCTAGTCCTTCCCTGGTGGGAATTACTCACTTGCTCTGACAAATCTGTGTGAAAACCCAATTGTTGAGAGTAGCTTTTGGCATAGCTCCATGTCCCTGTGATTTTCTGGCTGAAAGCAGGAATTGGTGTAGAAGGAGCAGAGCCCCGACACTGGTTGCCAACAATCACGTGATCACGCGAGACAGCTCTTGGCAGGCTTGGCAGGGTGCCGACCTGCCAGGCTCTCCTGACCAAGGCAGGACTGTGGGCTCCAAAGGCTTTGAAATGTTTCCAACAGGGGTCCGAACACAGGGGCGCTTCTGGTCCACTCCAGCGTTACCCTTTGGAGTCCTCACAGATCCTGAGAAGTGGGACAGTGGCCTTTGTGTGTTAGATTCTGGGGCCTCCTGGGATCTGGGCATAGTGCGTGATACAGAGCAGACACCAACCCCGCGTGGTTTTATTTAGAGTGAACGAGCGAGGAAATGTGTGCAGGGTCACCCAGCCAGGGCAGAAACCGAGGCCTCCTGACCCCCAGAGCAAATACCCAACCCTTGCAGGTGTCGGCCCTGTCCTTCCTGCTCCAGCCATCCAGCCATGTGGCACCTATCCACTAACACCTTCCTGTGCCAGCGCTTGCTCCAGGCCTGGGATGCCGCAGAGCAGAAAACACACAGAAAGCTTTGTCCCCATGACCTGACATTCAAGCAGAGGGAGAGAGACAGTCCCTAAACTACCTACAGAAGTAATGTATTTTGTCTCTGCTGGCCATAGAGAAAGGAAAGCATGAAGGGGTGATGGGGGAGTCATTTTAACATGAGGTCAAATCCCCTCCCTGAGCAGAGTGCTGGAGAGGTGTGAGTGTTCTGAGAACACAGTGGAGGGGACAGAAATCCTCAAAAGGACAGCAGGCATTCTTGGGGATGCCCTGCCATACCTTCTAACAAAAGGAGCATTTTACCAGGAGCCTGGGGGGTCTTCTGGGCCCTCCCTGGCTGCTGGGCTGGAGCAGCAGAGGCCAATGCTTGAGCTCACTGCCATGAGCTGGGATGTAAGGGTGAAGAAATGGTACACATGTCTCTTAGCAGGGTGGCTTCCTGGTGGACAAATGATAGAGAAAGATGAGTGTGGGTCTCATATGTTTTAGTTTTTTTCCTTCACTGATAGCAGTTGAGATCAAGATAATTTACAGGGAACAAAACCCAAAATGACAGGAGCTTAACCAGTAGTGTAGTCTATTTGTCTGTCACACATGAGGTTTCATACAGGGGTAGTCTGGCTGCTCTATATCCAAAAGGGATCCAGGTTTCTGTCTTTCCACTTCATCAAATTGTTATGCGGCTTGCATTCTCTAAGTCGCTCCCCCACAGTCCAAAATGGTTGCTACAGCTCCAGCTGTCACATCTACAGTTCACATAGCCTGAAGGGGAAAGCGCACACCTGTACACTGACCTAGTTTCATTTGCTAGCCTTGTCAGAAGCTTAGAAGAATAATTTGTACCTACGTCTCATTGATCAGAAGTTTGCCCATTAGCCATACTAACTGTAAGAGAAGCTAGGAAATATTTTCTCTGTGCAGTTTACCATCCTATAAGAAACAGGGCTTCTTTGCCTAGGGAACAGGGGAGTGTGGGAACTTGGAGGGAAGCTAACAGTCATTGCTGCAGCCTACATTTGCTAGTGCTTGCCTCGGTTCCCTCTGCAGACAGTTGTGGGCACTGTTGGTGCCAGGCCCAGACTGGGGAGACAGGATCTAGGGAGCAGTCGCACCCTCTGCCCTGGCGGGCTGCCAGCCTGTGGGGAAGGTGGGCTCTGGGACAGCTGCAGTGAGCGGCAGAGGCAGTGAGTCCGGGGGCACGGGTGGAGGATGCGCAAAGTCATGGCGGGAGAGCCGGGGCAGGGCCCTGGCTGAGGGGACCTCGAGGCCCTGCGCTGTCCCTGCTCCAGGGGCACAGCTGAGCCTGTGGAGGCTCTCGGGTCAGAGCCGGGGGTTGGGAGCGATGCCGCAGGACTCGGGTGCTCTCCAGCAGCAGCGGGCAGTCGGGGCGGCGCTCGTGTCAGCTCAGCACGCCAGACCCCTGCGGCTGGCGAGGCAGGTGAACGGCACGTCTTGGAAGGCACCTGATACAGGCAGTCAGGACAGAGATGGGCTTCAGATCCCGCGGTTGCTGCCCTGCCTCCCCAAGCCAGACCCACTCCTGACCCCTCCGCGGGCTGGACCATGGGGCACCGCACCGAGCTTGCCGGATACTGCTTCCCGCCCCAGTCAGCACCCGCTGTGTGCTGCAGATGTTTGCCATGCTTGTCCCACCTGTGGGTCCCTCTGCGAGCCCGTCAGCGCTTGAGTCTGGGCCCACCGGGCTCCTTGATCCCACGGATCAAGACTGTAGGCTTTGACCTGGAGGTTCTGGGCCAACTAGGTGTGAGTAGGGCCCTCAGCCCCGAGTTCCCAGGTCCTCTGGCTCCACCGAGTCATCTAGACTGAGCATGAGTGTCGCTGTGAAGAGGCGTGTAGGTTCTATGTCTTCAAACACCAGCTGCCGACACGGGGGTCTGGGGGTCAGGCCCAGGCTGCTGTTTCGCCACCCGGATGCCACCCCCAGAGGAGCAGACTTGTCCAAGGCGCCTGGGGCCCCCCTCTTCAGCTGTGCCTTGGGGACATTTGGGCTTTGATGCCCTCTGGGGGCCTTCACAGCTCCTGAGTGTCCCCCAGTCGCATTGCTGACACTGGCCCACCTCCTGGCACAGGGCTCTGGGACACGTCTGCGCCCGAGAAGTCAGGGAATGAAAGGGAGGTGGGAACTGGGGTCCCCCAGGTGTAGTTATCGGACACGCAGCTCCTGCCCATGTCTCTTTCCCTCTGGGCTGGCCACGTCTTTTGCAAGATGCGCAGTGGCCTGCTTTGCCCACAGCAGGGTTTTGCTGGTTGTGAGCCAGAGACCGAGGTAAGGGTGGGGGATTTGAGGCCAGAGCGGTCCCAGGCCCACCAGCTGGGCAAAGGGGTTAAATGGCCCCGCTTTGCTGGGATTCTTGCTTTCCATCTGTCAATGGGGAGCGACAGTTAGTACCACTAATGAGGACAGTCCACAACAGCAGGGCCGCTGATGGCACATGCCATCAGGGCTCCCACTTTTGCCCCTTGGACCACAGCAAATCGTACGAGGCGGGAGTCCAAGAGTCTCCATTTCATGGGACCGGGAGACTGAGCCTGGCGGACCTCAACTTGAGTAAGGTCACACAGCCATCGAGGGACAGCTGCATTCTGCTTGCGGGGACAGAGAAGCAGATGCACAAATGGACATGCACGGTGGAGGCAGGTGGAGAGGAGCTTTGCGCGGTGACAGGGGAGGGGAGGTCTGCTTCAGACAGGGTCGCAGGGGAGGCCTAGGGAGGAGGTGACACGACAGGCGAGCCCAAGTGACCGGCAGAAGTGCTACACCGCTGTCTGGAGGGCAGCTCCCGAGAGTAGCGGGCTGCGGGCCTGAGTGTGCCTGGCAGCCACCTGCAGGGAAAGGACAGCGCACCTGGGCGTGGGGAAGGTCGAGTCCGGGGTGCCTTTCATGGGGACTCCGGGCGCTGGGCTGTGTGGTGTGTGCGCGTGAGCACCCGTGTGCGGGGAGGGACTCCCAGAGACAGGCCGTGGCCTTGTCCAAGTCAGAAAGTGTTCATGCGGAGAAACAAAGTCAAAAGGACAGAGCGCTCCTGTGAAAGTGTCCTCTGTTCAGGCTGCCATAGCGCAACACCCTAGGCCAGGTGGTGGCTTGGGAACTGCAGAAGTTTCTTTCTCACAGTGCTGGAGCTGTGGAGGCCAAGGTCAGGGTGCCGGCAGGTTCGGTGACGAGCGAGGGCCCACCTCCTCATGGATGGCCATAATTTGAATATCTATGTCCCTCTACAATTTGTATGTTAACATCCTAACCCCCAAGGTGATGATGTTGGGAGTTGAAGTCTTTGGGGGCGATTAGGTCAAGGGGGCAGAACCTTCATGACTGGGATTAGTGCCCTTTTATTGGAGAGCCCAGAGAGCTAGCTACCTTCTAAGGATGTAGCAACATGTTGGTTTTGTTTGCGGAACATTTTTCTTTTTTTGCATGGCTTTCTTTTTTCCTTACAGTTGAGGTCACACCACAAATAGAGAAGGAAACAGGCTGAGCAGGGAAACAGGCACCTGGGTGATCAGTGTCCTTGCAGTATGGTGGGCACCAAGCGAAGTGGGGACCAGAGGATGAGCTCTCTGCACCGCAGGGTGGTGCTGGGGGAGAGAGGACACAGAGGCCACCTGGAGGCAGGGGCGCTGGGCCCTACGGTGTGAATGGGGGCAGCGGGCAGCCTCTGTGAGGGCCTGGGGACGACAGGGCATGGTGCGCTGGAGGAGGGCAGCTGCTAGTCTGAAGCTGGGCCTGGGGCCATTCTGGGAGAGCCCTAATCCCGGCGCGGAGTCTGAGCCTGTGTTGTGCGCCAGCCTGAGCCCCAGAGTAGGTCAATGCAGAGGGGACGTGATGGGGTCTGTGTCTTAGGAAGGGACATCTGGCAGCTCTTCGAGGGTCGATGGAGGGGCCGATGGGGAGCTGGTTGACAGCTGAGGACTTGGCAGTCACCTCAGGGTGAGCCCTGCTCTGTGCGTCCAGCTGTGGCACTGGAGGGAGCCATCCTCGTAGGGAGCCACCTGCGAGTTCCTGGAGGCTGGGTGGGAATGACACCCTTGGCACTGTGGCCACCTGCAGCCGTGACGTGAGATGAAAGATCTGTTTTAAAAAAAGTTTAATGCTTGCCTTTGTTTATCAGGTACTTTCAGGACTGTAGTTTTACCTGCTGATTTGCTCTTTCGTTCAACAAGGGATTATGGAACACCTGCTCTGTGCCGGGCACTGTCCTGGGTGCTGGGAGCAAAAGGGGCCACGAGGCTCGCCCAGAGCCTGTGTGCACATTGTCTGAAGTGTGGGCAGCACAGTGGGCGGCCATGGGCAGACAGGCCACCAGTGACTATGCCAGCAGGGACACCGCAGTCTGCACTTCCCTTCATCACTTGGTACATTTCTCTTCAGGGCTGTTTCATGCTGTTGAAAGCAGCGTGGCTGTGCCCAAACCTTGCCCACAGTTCTGCGTGCTGAGCATGCAGCTCGCTGTGAATAATTGCTTTGGCAGTCTGTGCCAGGGCCCGTCGCTGGAACGTGTGCTCTGACTGCGCTGGCTGCTGTGGGGGTCTCGGCGCTTGCTGGCTGTGTGCCGCAGCAGCGGCCGTGTGGTGGACACCTCTGTGCATAAGCCCAGCTCTCTGCCACCTGTTCTGTTAGAGGCTGGATTCCAGATGGGGAATTCCTACGTTCATAGCTTATGGGCACTTTCAAGACTTTTACCAGATTGTTTCACAAAAGAGGCGAATTGCTTTATCCCCCAGCAGTGCATCAGAGTGCGGCCTTACAGCAGTGCTCTGAGTGCTGCAGGTGAGGAGAGCAAGTTTCAAAGGCAGGGAGAGGACCCACAGGTCTGGACACTCAGGTCATGCCCACACTGCCGCCCATAGGAATGCTGAGTCTTCTCCTTTTTCTGTAGGCCGTGGATCCCTCCTCTGTTGCCTTGGTAACCTTGGGCTCCTCAAAGGAGATGCTGTTTGAAGGAGGTCCCAGACCCTGGATCCTCGAGCCCTCTAAGTTCTTCCGGAATATTACCTCGGAGGACACTGACAGCATCAGTGTGGATCTCTTTGGTGGTCCTGCCTCCCGGAATTACCAGCAACACTGGATCCTTGTGACCTGCCTGGCCTTGGGTGAGCAGGTGAGTGGGCAGCAGCCCCCAGACCCACCTTACCCAGAGGCAGGTGGAAAATCACTCACTGAGCATCATTTTACTTACTCCTCAGAGTAATGCTGACAGATAGCTGCTGCTATTGTACCCACCTTATAGACAGGCAAACCAAGGCATGATGAGATGGGATGACTGAGTGAATACCAGGCAGATGAGCAGGGTGCGGCGTGCAGAGCCAGGGGCTCCCTGGTACCCACCGGCTTTGCTAGAGCTGGCCAGGCAGGGTGGCCTCCTGCACCTCCCGGCTTCAGCATCCCCCACTACCAAACTGGGGCTTAGGGGGCTGAGATCAGGAGTCACAAAGTCAATTGCCTCCAGGATCAGTCACATAATAGATGAGTGAGACCATAGACATAAGTTGGGCACCTCTTTTTGGTGTTTTGGGATAAGTTGGAAATCCTAACATTTGTGTGTGTGAAATGTCTTAATTTTTTTTTTATTGCTGAAAACCAGAAAAATTAGGAGACTGAGGGAACCAAACAAAACACCTCTGTGACCCCACGTGGCTGGAACAGCTGACCAGGGGTGTTGTCTTGTTGTTCAGGGCCCCTGGTGTCCAACACTCCCTTGCCTGTGGCCAGCCAAGGGCAGTGGCCAGGAGCTCATGGGGCTTATAGCTCCCAGTGGGGAACCAGAGGCCAGGTGGCAGCACAAGGCAAAGCAAGGCAGATTCAGCACAGAGCCCGTGTCTTTGGGGAAGTGAAGAATATTCCTGCATGTCTAACAGCACCAAGAGTATTAACTGATGTGGAAACACACACGTGCACACCTCCCACGGTACCCTTGTGGCACCAGCCACACCATGACCACGTTGGTATGGTCAGAAAAGATCTCCGTGAAAGGCCCCGCCCCCACAGGTTTTGTTTGTAAACAAACTATAGAATACTGAGAACAATGGCTACATAATAATAATACAACAGCAAGAATAAAATCACTCATGAATTAAGTTGGAAAAGTTTCTCATCCCTGGCTTGACCCTGTCTTCCCTGTCCCTGCCCTGGGCTGTAGGAGCTTGGCCCCCAAGCCGGGTGGCCTTGAGGGCCCTCCCCAGCCCGTGCTCTGTGGCTCCCTCAGTGGGCACGGAGGGGTGCAGACAGGAGGCCTGCTGGAGTCGGGGGAGCTGCCCTCGGTGCTGCCTCGTGGTCAGTGGGCGAGGAGCTCTGTAGGAGACCATCGCTTCTCCAGGACGTGGGTGTCATTGGAGGAGGCTGAGGGCACCCACGGCATGGGCATCGCCTGTGGCACTCTATCAACCAGGGTCCAGTTGTTACAGGCCTCATTTCTGGTCTCCCAGCTCTATAAGCAAACACAAGTTTCCCTTTCTTTCCTCACACTTGAATTCCCTCCCTGCAGTCCTGTCCTTCCCGGCTTTGTCCTGCCAGATCCCCTGTTCCCATCCATTTCCCCTGAATCTCTGCCCCTCACCCCATAGCATGCACCTCCCTGAAAGCTGCCCGAGCTTTGGTGAATGTTTTCACATCCATGTGGAGTCCTCTTTTAGCCACTTCGGTACCAGCGTCGACTATAGTCGAGAGCCACAGGTGAACGCGCAGAGTGACTTTAGCCGACAGCCATGATATGAAGGTGCACAGCCAAGTGTCAACTTTAGCCGACAGCCGTGATATGACTTTTCTAATTTTTGATTTATCCAAATAAAATTGTGAACGTGTAAAAATAATGTAATGAAAATATATATGTATATGTTGCCTATTCTGATTTACATTACAAGTAAAGCTGCCTGTAAAGTAAAACAACTTTCAGTGCTTTAAAGCTTTGCTCATCACACAAGAACAAAATGGATTCATTGTCAATGCACAGCACAAACTACCGTGCGGACTGTGAGTGCCGGCTGTGGGCAAGGTGTCGCGGCTGGTGAGCGCCGTACCGAAGTGGTTAAGTGTCCGTGAACTTAGGCATTTGCTAATACGGCTATGGAGTTTTTCTAGGATCCTGGGAGACATGGTGTGTCATCTGGTCCACCTCCTTCTTGGGACAAGAGCAGCGTGTGGTTCTTGCTTAAATTTGCCGAGGGCACATGGGGTCCCATCTGGGAGTGTCTTTGTTTTTTTAATTTTTGGTAGTCATGGATCTCATTCTTGTTTAGGGTGGTTTCAAATCCTGTCCTCAAGGGATCCTCCCACCTCGGCCTCCCAGAGTGCTAGGATTACAGGCGTGAGCCACCGCGCCTGGCCTGACAGTGTCTTAGATGTAGAGAAAATGCTTTCCTTTCCTCCCATGTACCACTGAGCTTTTGTTAAAACCCTGTGGTGTAGATACCCTCATCACTGCCACCCTACGGGGAGAAAACCGAATCAGAGGGGCCTCGGGTGGTGTGGCTCAGCTCAGAGAGGTGGGGGTGGGATCTGACTGCTCCTCTGCCCTGCCAGGTCATCGCCCTCTCAGTGGGGAACAAGCCCAGCCTCACCAACCCCTTCCCTGCGGCGGAGCCTGCTGTGGTGAAGTTTGTCTGTGCCCTGCCGTCCAGGCTCACCCTTGCGCCTGTCTACACCAGCCCCCAGCTGGACCTGTCCTGTCCGCTGCTGCAGCAGAACAAGCAGGTGGTGAGTGTGGCCATGTGTGGGAGGGAGGCAAGGCTTGGGCAGGAGGACTGTGGCGGCCTTGCCCTGCAGTGCCATGTGTTGTGGTGGCTGGAGCTCTACGCTGCACCGCCTTTATCTCAACAGCCAGCCCTAAAGAGGGTGCTTTCATTCGAGCTTTACATGGGGGACCATGACTTGGAGAGGTGAGGGACTTCCCAAAGCCACATGTACTGTGGCAGTGCCAGGTGGGGACAGAGTCCTCTTCCATTCCAGGTGCACGACCTCTCTCTGCTTGGTGCTTGGTGGCTTCTAAAAATCTCGCCTCTGTCTTCGTGCCTCGGGCATGTGAAGGTGGGGCTCCTCTAGGGACAAAGCGGGACCAGCAGCTGGGAGGAGTGTGACCAGCTGCAGCATCCCTTGGGGTGTGGGGGGACCTGAGACCCTTTCAGAAGTGAGTGTTGGGAGGGGAAAAATTCCCTTGGGGGTCTTCATTAGGGGACCTTGAGAAAGATAGATCCCTAAAATGCATTCTGGGTACAGCATCAATTTAATCTTTTATTCTCCAAACCCAGTGGCCACCCAGGATGTGTTTGCAGAGTAAATTATCTGGGAGGAAAGATATCAGAATGGAGTTGACCGATCAGAATGACAGAGGGGAGCCACACTCCAGCCTGACCCCGAGCCTCTGAGCAGGGCACTCGGTATTTGGCTTGCTGTGGTTGGTCACCAGATGCACATGACTGATGATCCGGGGCTCAGATGGAGCTGCTGCCGGCTCAGGCGCCAGGACGTGTTGTCAGCAGACGTCCTTGGGCCTTAAAATCAGACTGGCTGAGCTCTACCTCTAAATCCTTGAGCAGGTTATTTAACATGTGACCTTGAACAAGTTGTTGAACGTTTCTGGGCCTCAGCCTGCCCATTGGTACATGGGGCTAGTGTTGTTGCCTCAGATGGCCCCTCATGGCAAGTACACTTGGCACAGTGCTGATAGCCTTTCTGGAAGAGCGTTGGTTTTACAGCCAGGGTTGCACCTGAGGGAAGGGGGCAGGGTACCTAGGATAGGCTCCTACAGTCCCTGCCCACATTCACAGCTCCCCAACTTGTGTTCACAATAAGCACAAGCCTTTTGCACGCTGAGGTGACTGTGCTGCCTGCTCTTAGGAAGGTGTGCATCTAGAATCTGCAGCGTTCTGGCATCAAGTGCTCTCTGGGGTTAAGAATGTAGAAGGACTTGGGGAAGAGTCCTCATGGTGGAGGTTGACAGTCAGGTCAGGCTGGGCCATGCTGCAGTGACAAAGTCCATCTCTTGCTCATGCTGCCTGTTCATCATGGGTCATCTCAGGAACCCTGTTTCATGTCATCGTTATCTTCTTTCCAAGATGCAAGCTGTGGAGCAGCCACCATGTTGACCGTGGCAGATGCCAGTGCAGAGAGAAAGGGAGTATGGCGTGGCAGATCATGTTCTGGCATTAAGGCTCCCACCCGGAGTTGTCACAAGTCGCTATCCCATTGTGCTGGCTAGAGCAAGTGCCATGGTCACTCCTAACTACAAGGGTCAGAGAAGAACAGTCCTTCCCACTGAACCCAGGCCTAAACAGAGAACCAGACCTATTTATGAATGATGCTAATGACCACCCTATTTCCCTACCTGAGTGTTAGTTACCGTGAGCCAGGCTCCAAAGTGACCTCATGTGACTGGCATTTAAAACAGTGTCCTAGGAGGTGGTTTCTATTGTGCTGCCCACATCACAGCTGGGCAAAGTGAGGTTTGGGGATGTTTCTAGCTTGCCTGGGCGGTCAGAGGTGGGGCTTGGGTGCAGCCCAGGCTGTGGGATCAGACACGCTTAGGCTCTGCTTTGCTTTGCTGCCCTCCCTTCCCTGCCCCAATGCCTTGTGGTCAGAGAGGGAAAGGACAGGCCCCAGGAACAATGAGGCTCGATTGGGGCCACATAGTCCTTGTGGGCCTGCTCTATGTATCGTAGGGTGGTCAGCGGTATCACTGTCCTCTACCCACTGGGCGACGGTGGCAACACCCCTCTCAGCAGTGACAGCCAGAAATACCTTTGAATGTTGCTGAAGGAGCCCCTGGTGGGGAAGGGGGTTCTCATCCCCCGTTAGTAACCGCGATCTAGACGCAGAGGCAGCTTGGGCAGGGCAGGACGGCACTTGATGGTCGGCGGTGGTGGAGGTTGGTCACTCACTCACCTCACTTCCTCAGCACCCCACGAGCCCACAGGGCAGCCGCTAGGTTCAGCGTGCACTGCGTGGTCAGCAGTGGCTGTGACCAGTCCTGGGTGTGACCAAGGCATCTCTCCTTTGCTTCTTGCAGGTTCCAGTCTCCAGCCACCATGACCCCCTGCTGGACCTGGCTGCCTATGACCAGCAGGGCCGGCGATTCGACAACTTCAGCTCTTTGAGCATCCACTGGGAGTCCAGCAGGCCACTGCTGGCCAGCATTGGGCTTGATCCACCCATGCGATTGGTGTCCCAGGACGATGGGAGCGGCCAAAAGAAGCTGCACGGTGAGCGGGGTGGCTAGCCCGATGGCCCGGGGCAGGAGGACAGAGGCTGTGAGCCCTGGCCAGACGAGATGTGTGCCAGGGCACACTGGTGCCCATCGGGAACTCAGCTTTCTGGGACTCTACTTTGTCCAGAACTAAAATGTAGGGTGCACTGTGAGCTCACTGCTCTTCTTCAGTCCTGCACAGACACTTTGTGAGGTAGCAGACAGAGAGGCTCAGGCTCCATAGCAGGGAAGTCTCCAGTGCCAGAGTGTGCAGTAGGTCTTTCCAGTTCCAGCACCTATGCTGCTTTATGCCCAGGTGCATCTGAAATCCCTGACAGCCAAAAGTTAAGTCTTTCCCCCAACTCATCTCAGCTGCTCCATGAAGCCTTGCTCAGGGCCTGTTGACTCTTACAGTACACAGTTTCCACAGGCTCAGTTATTGGTTTTCAGACTTGAAACTGCAGATCAGGAGGGAGGGGTTGCTTCAGCGGGGGCGATGGGCAGACATCCAGCATCGATTTCCCTGTTCCTGGACTCAGGTCTGCAGGCCATTTCAGTCCATGAGGCATCGGGAACCACAGCCATCACTGCCACCACGACGGGCTACCAGCAGTCCCACCTCAGCACAGCCAGCGTGAAGCAGCAGGTATCTCCCAGGGCCCAGCGGTGGGCGAGGCCACGGGCAAGGCCAGGAGATCTCCTGATGCTGCCTGAACTCTGCCCACATTCCACCAGCCCTCAGTCCCCAATGTGCTCCCTGAACTGGGAGTGTGCTCACTGCCTCAGCTCTCCCCACCCCACACCCCTTCCATGTGGGCTTCTGGAGGGATCCACAAAAACTCAAACAGACCTGTCATCTCTGGGCTCCAGCATGCCCCTAGTAGCCCTCAGACCTTCAGGAGGAAGCCGTCCCCACACCCTGCCTTACGGCCCACCCAGTGTGCCCCTGCTGCCAGGAATGACCCCCTTCCTCTGACTCTCCCCCACTAGGTAACCTTCTGTCCCTCCAGTCCCAGCTAAGATGTCAGCCTCTCCGGGGAGTGTCCCTAAGCCTTGGACACAGAGTAGCCTTCTGCCCCTGATCCCAGAGCCCTTGTCTCCTGCTGTCACAGCATAGAAACACCCTCCCCCAACACACTTTGCACACTTGTTGCCACCATCTGTGCACACAGATCACCGCCCATTGGACCACCCACTCAGCCCCAGCATCTCATGGGGGCCCCGGGCAGGGGTGTTGCTAGTGGAGCCCAAATGGGTGTATCTGAGGTAGGATTGGGAAGGGTTCCCCACGAACGGTCCTGCCTGGAGGACAGCCACCGCATGGTGATGGGGTGCGTCAGTGACCTTGTGTTTTCAACAAGGCAGAGACAGCAGACCATGGCTGGAAAGGGAATGTGTGGCCTGATCCCTGGGCCCTAAGTGCTAGGATGAAGAGCTTCAGTTGTCACCTGGCTGGACAGCTGTGGAAAGGGCAGTGGGGGCAGCACTGAGGAGGCTGGCCTGGAGGGAACGGCCACTCATGGGGCTTACCTATGCCCGTCCCTGGTGGCTGGCCTCGTCCTCATGCATGCTCCCACCAGGAATCCCTTGGCCAGAGTAGGGGCCTCCTGGCTGGGCCTAGACACCCGCCAGGATCCCTCCAGGGCCTTTGCGCTCACCCTCTGTGCCCTGGACTCCCTGTCACTGGCGTGGCCCAGGCGTTTCTCAGCTTGAGGTCTGTGCTCCTTGAGAGCTCCTCTCCCTCTCCAACCCTCCTTGCCCGGGACACCCACACGGCACCCGGCACCTTCTGTCCTTCCCTCACTCTTCCGTGAGGGCAGCTGCTGCACGCCCAGGGCCTTGCACGTGCCTGGTGCCAGTGGGTGCTCAGTTAGTCCGACTGTGCGTGAGTCAGATCTGGGCCGGGTCAGGCAGTCTCCCTCGAATGACACGTGGCAGGAAGCAGAGCCACAGAGTGCCACCGAGGCAGTGAGGGCTGCCCTTGTCCTCTTGGGAGCCAGCCGTGAGGACTCTTCCACGGGACCCTCCCCCATGGCTCTGCCTGGCGAGCGGCTTTCCCGCCTGCCCAGCCCCCATCCACTCCCCCAGCACAGGATCTGCCACATGCTCCGAAGCCGGCCATCTGCTCTGGGGACCTGAGGGTCGGGGTGTGTGTGAGTGGGGCCTGGCAAGGGGGGGTGGGGCTGTCCTCTGAGCAGGACTGTTGCTCACCCAGCCTCTGTCTGGACTGGAGGAGGTGGCAACTCGCTCTGTCTTGAGTCAAGGAGGCCTGAAAGGGGACATGGCCATTCAGCTGGGCTCAGGAACACCACGGTTTTATCGGGGTGTATGTCCCAGATGGAATGAGTGGCCAGGACCTGTGGCTTCTAAGGCCAGCTCTTCCCCCGGGGTGGGCTGCAGGCAGGCATTGCCTTGGCCCCTAGTCGGCCATGGCCTCATGGATCTGACGGTGTCGGTCTTGTCCCTTCAGCACGGCCCTCTCGTGCCCATGTCGGCCTCCATAGAGCTCATCCTGGTGGAGGATGTGAGGGTGAGTCCAGGAGAGGTGACCATCTACAACCACCCTGGCATCCAGGTACGGCCCTTGCCCTGCCACAGCCCTACTGGGGTGAGACCCACCAGGAGCACCTCACCTCCGACACGCAGCCCAACCCCTCCCTGCCTCTCCCTCCTGCAGGTGGAGCTGAACGTCAGAGAAGGCTCCGGATACTTCTTCCTCAACACGAGCACTGCAGACGTCATCACGGTGGCCTACCAGGAGGCCAGGGGAGTCGCCATGGTGGGTTGGCTTTAGTTCCTCACCTGGGCCGCTGTGTGGTTAGTGGATTGACTATTGGAAAAGCTGGCACTTAGTCACACCAGCTATAACCAGCAGGGTCTTCAGAATCTCTGCTTCATTCAGCAACTTTAGTCATCACTGTGCCGCCTCTGTGAGTTTTATTCCACATCCACACACTATTCATGCCATTCGTTGCCTAATGGTTTCCTTTCAGTCACTCTTTTAGTGAAGACTAGAACATCATTTCATAAGCACCACTATGCTTTAAAAAAGTCATTTTTAGAGGATGCATCAGCTTTTTCTATTAATGTTTTTCCCATGTTTCTTTCTTGACTCTCTCCCTGTTCTTGCAAGTACTGACTTAGCTGTGCCCGTGGGGTGGAAGGTTTCAGCATTCTGTTCTTTTTCAGTTAGTTATCCTAAGATTTTATATCTTTCCCTGCTGCGATATAGGCTAGGTGATTATTTTTACACAGTTGTTTGTCCTTTAGCCCTTCTCTTTTTGTAGAGTATATGAGTTGTTTAGAGCTTTTTTTTTTTTTTTTTAATTTTTTATTTTTTATTTTTTTTGAGACAGAGTCTCGCTTTGTTGCCCAGGCTAGAGTGAGTGCCGTGGCGTCAGCCTCGCTCACAGCAACCTCAAACTCCTGGGCTCGAGTGATCCTTCTGCCTCAGCCTCCCGAGTAGCTGGGACTACAGGCATGCGCCACCATGCCCGGCTAATTTTTTATATATATATCAGTTGGCCAATTAATTTCTTTCTATTTTATAGTAGAGACGGGGTCTCGCTCTTGCTCAGGCTGGTTTCGAACTCCTGACCTTGAGCAATCCGCCCGCCTCGGCCTCCCAAGAGCTAGGATTACAGGCGTGAGCCACAGCGCCCGGCCTAGAGCTTTTTGTTTTTGAAAAAAACATACCAAAGCATAGGATAAAAAGAACAAAAACAAACAGAAGCCAGTGTCCCACATGTCTGCATATCTGCATGATGGATTACTAGGCAATCGTGAAAATTGAACTTACTTTAAAAGGAAGCTCTCACCACTGAATGTGTACTGAAACCACTCCCGTCAGTCATAAATGGCAAGGCTCAGCACTGACAGCCACCCAGCAGTGTCATTAAACCCCTTTATTAAAAGGGGTGGTTGCCACATGTTTGAGGAATGTCACGGTCATGTTGGCATCAAATGAGACTTCCTGCACACAGAGGGGCCTGGGCTGGGGACTCAGTCTCTCAGGCCACCTGCAGCCTGACGCCACGCCTGCTCCTGACCTTACCTTGTCCGTGCAGGTGAGTCCTCAAAGCTAGCCACAATGAGAAACAAACTTCCTAACTTCAGGGAAGGCTAAAATAAAAATTCACCTTCACAGTGACCTCGTCCCAGAGTTTCCTTTCAGAGACTCAGGCAGGCACCTTGCCCGCTGTAATGCAGTAAGTTTGCGGCATGGCTAGAAATCAGGCGTGCGTCACCGCACTCTCTGTGCAGGTCTTTCCTGTAGTTCCACATCTCTGGCCTTTGCATCCACTGACTGGCTTCCCATGGGGATCACAGATTAGCTGCCTGGAGGGGGTGGCACACATGTAAAATAAGTGAGGGGAGCAGCAGGGTGTGGGGAATGTGGCTGGAGGTGCTGTGCCACGGGGACGTGACCCTGAGCCTCAGTGTCATGGAATAAGAGGGAGTGGGGCCTACGGCGCGCCAGAGAACGCAGGCTGTATCTGAGGACAGCCGCTGTGCAGCTCTGGCTGATTTCTGTGATGATGATCATTTGTTTTTAACTCAAACCAAGATCAGAACTCTATTGTTTTTTGGGTTTTTTTTTTGAGACACAGTCTCGCTTTGTTGCCCAGGCTAGAGTGAGTGCCGTGGCGTCAGCCTAGCTCACAGCAACCTCAATCTCCTGGGTTCAAGCAATCCTACTGCCTCAGCCTCCCGAGTAGCTGGGATTACAGGCATGTGCCACCATGGCCAGCTAATTTTTTGTATATATATTAGTTGACCAATTAATTTCTTTCTATTTATAGTAGAGACGGGGTCTCGCTCTTGCTCAGGCTGGTTTCGAACTCCTGACCTCGAGCAATCCACCCGCCTCGGCCTCCCAGAGTGCTAGGATTACAGACGTGAGCCACCGCGCCCGGCCAGAACTCTATTGTTTTTAATAACACCTTTATTGAGGTGTTATTCACATACCATATAGTTCACAGGCTTTAAGGTATGATCAGTGGTTTTTAGTAGATGCTCAGAGTTGTGTAGTCATCACCACAATCAGTTTTAGAGTATTTTCATCACCTCGAAAAGAAGCCCATACACTGTAGCTGTCACCTCCTTATTACATGCACACACGACACACGTGCCCTGTCCCAGGTTTGGGCAACCTCTGATCTACTTCCTATCTCTGTAGATTGGGCTATTCTGGACATCTTGTGTAAATGGAATTATGTAACATGTAGTCTTCTGTGACTGGCTTCCTTCATTTAACATGATGTTTTCAAGTTTCACCAATGTTGTGCTATCTACCAGTATTTCATTCTTTTTATGGCCAATCGTCATTGTATAATATGTCACATTTTGATTATTCATTCATCCATTGATGGACGTTTGGGTTGTTTCCACCTTTCGACTGTTAAAAATAATGCTGCTGTGAACATTTGTGGACATGTTTGTGTGAGCATGTGCTTTCATTTCTGCTGGGCGTATGCTGAGGAGTGGAATCTCTGGAGTCTTATGGAAGCTCTGTGTTTAACTTCTTGAAGAACTGCCAGATTGTTATCGTAAGTGGCAACACCATTGTTCATTCTTGCCAGCAGTATGTGAGGGTTCCAATTTCTCCACATGCTCATTAATACTTGTTATTATCAGACCTTTTAATTGTAGCCACCCTACACTGAGACAGTAACTAGTATCTCCTTGTGGCTTTGATTTGCATCTCCCTGGTGGCTAATGACGTTGAGCGTCTTGTCATGTGCTTTTTGACCATTTGTATGTCTTCTTTACACAGATATCTATTCACATCCTTTGGCTATTTTTTGTCTTTTTATTAAGTTGTAGAAGTTCTTTATATATTCTAGATATAAGTCCTTTATGAGATGTGATTTGCAAATATTTTCTCCCATTCTGTAGGTTGTCTTTTTACTTTCTTGGTATTATCCTTTCAAGCACATAAGTTTTCAGTTTTGATGAAGTACAGCATATCTGTTTTTCCTATTCTTGTTTGTATTTTTGATATCATATCTGAGTGCATTGCAAATCTGAGGTAATGAAATTTTACCTATGTTTTCTTCTGAGAGTTTCATAATTTTAGGTCTTAACATTTCAATCTTTGATCCATTTTGAGTTAGCTTTGTTGGATGTAGGATTCTTGGTTGCCAGAGGCTTGGGGGGGGGTGTTGTTTTGAACACTTTGAATATGTCCCGCTCTATGGTTTCTGATGAGAAGTCAGCCGTTGATGGGGTTCCCTTGTAAACGCGGAGCCGTTTTTCTCCTGCTGCTTTCAAGATTTTTTTCTAGTCTTTGGTTTTAAACATTGTGTAAACTGTGATTTAGTTTGCAGAACCTCATCCAATCAAGTTCAGGATCCTCTGAAGGAATAGTTTCTTAGGAAGTGTTAGAGATTTGTCCAGACTCCAGGAGCGTTTTTCTGTTTGCATATCTCTTTCATTTATCTCATTTGGATTTCATTGGACTTTCTGGATGTCTTTCAATAAATGTGGGAAGTTCTGAGCCATTATTGCATTGAGGTTTTTCTGCTCCTTTCCCTTCCTTCTCTCTTTCTAGGTCTCCCTTTGTGCATCTGTGGGTGCCTTGGTGGGCCCACATCTCTCTGGGGCTCCGTTTTTCTCTTCTTCAGCTTGCATAATGTCTATCAGTCTGTCTTAAAGTTTGCCAGTACTTTCTTTCTCTAGTTCAAATCTACTCTTGTGCCCCTCTAGTGAATGTTTGGTTTTAGTTACTAACTTTCCAACTTAAGAATTTCTATTGGTCTCTTTTTTCTAATTTCTGCCTCTTTCCTGATATTCTCTGTCTAATATGTCCTTTGTAGCAAATCTTCCTTTACTGAGCCAGTGCTTCCTCTTTGAACGCACTGATAATGGCGGCTTGAGGACTCCGCCTGGTAGATCTGACATTTGCTTGCTCTCCCAGGCAGCTTCTGTTGCCTGCCTTCTTTCTGGCATTTGGGTCATACTTTCCTGATTCTTTTCATGTCTTGTAATTGCTTGTTGGAAACTGGGCCCTTTTAGATAGAACATTGTAGCAACTTTAAGTACTGGTCCCTCACCCCCACCTTGGCCCCAGAGCTTGTTGTTATTTGGTTGTTTACTTCTTTAGTGACTGGCCTTATTATTTTACTGAAGTCTAATATAGACACACACACACACACACACACACACACACACACATATGCATCCCTGCCCACAGTATGCAGGGACAAAGCCTTGGTGTGCCCATAGTCAGTCACCCTGGGAGGACAGTGGCTTTTGTAGGGCTTTGTCTCTTTACCTAAGAACCCAACAGTTGGGCCCAGTAATTGAGGCTGATCGCTCTGTCATCTTCACTGATGCCCTGAGGCACAAATGATTGCACAACCTAGTCCAGTCAGCTCAGGATCCTTTGAAGGGATGGTTCCCAAAGAAGGTGTTTGAGGTTTGTTTTGACCTCAGGAGGGCTCTTCCAAATTGTCTGTTTTTCCATTTCTGCCTGGAAAACTTGCCAGCCTCTGGCGTACCCTGTGTCCCAGACTATTCAGCCCTCCGGGTGCCTTCCAGTGCAACCATGCTGGTTTTGGTGGTGCTTTCGTGCTGGAACTTCTCCAGACTCAGTTGCAAATGAAGTGAGTTCCTTGTGGAGGGAGTCACAGCTTTCTGTTTGATGACTGCTTCCTTCCCAGGCCAAAACTTTGAGCCAGAACTATGGCACTGGGGCGGGGTAACGGTGTGCTTCTCTCTGAATGACACCTGCACTGTGGGAGCTGAGTACTTGGTGAATGGGGACAGCAGCCCCAG